TTCTGTGTCTGTGTTAATTGGTTTCCCTTTTCTTTGTTGAAGAGGGTCTGTGCAATCCTTCTGCCTAGTCCGCCATCTTGCCCCGCCTCCTCTCTAATGCTTACTATTGATTTAGGATGTAGTGACATAGATACTCATACCCCAATGGCGGGGTGTAAACTGACTGCAGTGTAGTAAATTACCTAGTATGGTTTTTCTAGCAGTAAGTCTTTGTAAACTCCATGGGGGAATTGGCCATGTGCAACCAAGTAGCTACTGATTGTTAGTTATCCACCTGGGCTATTTCTGTTGGGAGCAGCACAAAATAATTTTCTGGGAAGTTCGCTCTCTCTCAGGTGTATGGAATTCTGATGTTGGGATTGGTTAGTTTGGCCACTCTGTCAGGCTCAAAAGGAGCCCTCCTAGAGGCAAAAGGGGTCTCTCTGACTGTTGACTGAGAAATGCATGCTGCTGAGAAAACCACACTCCTGAGAGACATGTGCTGCTAAGAAAGAGACATCAAGAGACACGCACTGCTGGGAGAGAGACACCGAGAGACATGCACTGCTGAGAGAATGACTGAGAGAGACTGTTGGCTGAGAGATGGCAGGCTGAGAGAGACTTAGCGTTTTTCCTGAAGTTGAATTGTAGCCTGGTGCTTCCCTAATGAACCCCATAATCTGTCAGTTCTGTGTGGCCACTGCAGCGAATTATTGAACCCAGCAGAGAGGTGGTGGGTGCTGCAGGAGGAATGGCCGGTGTTAGGGCTGGGGGGAGGTGGCATGTCTGGCCTCGCAAGGATAGGCCATGGGCTATTGATGGTGATTCTGTCTTCCTCTTGTGGGGTTAGAGGAGGTCAGAAGATGAGGTGCCCTTTTGGCACTGATACAAAGTCTTTGGAAGGTACTTTGATAATATGGATCAAAGATTTAAAAACAAGCAATCCTCTTACTAAGAATTATATAGGTATGTATTCTAATAAATTATCAGTCAAGGTACAAAAATGTATGAACAGGAATGTTTAACATCATATTGTTTTAACAAAGGATAAGTTGTATAGAACATCTTTATGGTACAATATTATTGCAGGTAGTAAAAATGCTTATGTGGACCTATATAAATTGATATGGCAAGATGTTCAGAAAATATTTCTAAGTGAGAAAAGCATGGTACAATACTTTTTATTTATAAAAATATGTGTAAAAGTTTTATATATATGATATATATGTATATATAAATATATACATATATATATATATATATGATATGTATGTACACAAAAGCATCTGGTAGGACTGACTACCAAATGAAATAGTAGTTAGTAATAAGTAAATAGTAGTGTATGGATTATAAACAATGTTTTCCCTTTTGCTCATCTCTATTTCCTACTATGAAAAAACTTTCAAAAAATAACAATTGTAAAGGATATAGAGAAAAATACTTAAGTTATAAATAATAGCTACAACAAGTCAGGAAACAAGTGTAACTACAAACTACAATTACATAATAATAGTAAAAAGCTAGAAATTAATACATTTTTTAATATTATAAAAGCTAGAAAAATTAATTGTGTGAAGACTGAGAAATTTATGATTGGAATTTTTTTTTTCCTTTTCCAAATGTTCAATGATGTATCTTTCAGGATTTTAAAAAAAGTTGTCAGTTTTGCTACAATGAACTTCTAGGAAAAATTATGCAAAAGCGTTCTCTCACTGTACTATTTCAAGTTAACTTCATATTATTCCACCTGATGGTGAAAAATAAATCCATGCAGTTGAACTTATGCCATACCTTTGCCAGGAGAGTTTTACCACAGCCAGGAGGACCAGCAAGAAGGACCCCAGCTGGAGTTACTAATCCAAGAGCTTTGAACTGACCTGGGTTACGTACTGGTGCCTGTAAACAATAAACCCAACAAGAACCCATTACAGATGACCATTCCATACTAAAATGTATTTCCACATGTATACCTTTAACACTGATTGTAAGGTCTGAAGATATGAAAGGCACCTGGTACAGAATGCTTTCTTTGGTTCTAGGCATGAGGTATGTGGCGATAAATGAAACAGCTCTTGCAATCACGGAATTTATACTTAATTTATACTGAAAACGTTTTAGACAGGTAAGGTACAATATTTCAGTATTTTGAAAGTCAAGATTTTTGAGAAAACCATCAAACCTCTAGATTATAAAAATTTTTGGTGATGCCTACTTGAAGAAATCAGCAGTTGTAGTATCCTTCAAATAGTCAAAGGCCAGCGATATATGTACTGTAATCCCACTGCATTTTCTCTTTCAGTATGCACACATCTCTGTGTGGATCACACGTCAATTCATGAACCATGGACTATGCTGCCAGAGCTCTCATGGAATGATTAGTAAAGTGAAAAAGTAAAGAAAAAGCATTCCACATTTCTTGGGGGTTAAAACTGCTTTGTCTCTTAAGAGTGAGATTTGGTCAGCAAATAGTTCTCAAACCATTTGGTCTTAGATGAAACCTGAAACAACTTTTTTTTTTTTAAATTCATTGCCACAGAAAACATTCACAGCCTAAAGACTAAGTCTCAAACAGATCTCAAAAGAATGAAAATATTATTGTTGGGGGCTAAATAAGACAATAGAACACTCAAAAGAAAACATTGAGTCAAGTCCACTTAGGCATACAACCAAGTACACAGGCATGTGTCTTTATGCTGTTATCTGCCCATCACGTAGGCCAACATATGCCAATGACATTTAGTAGCACACACACATACCAATATTGCCATGGTAAGCTCCTCTCTAATATCTTCCAGGGCGCCAATATCTGCCCATGTCACATTAGGGACAGTGACAAAGCCTTCTCTTTTGGCAGAGGGTTGGACTGAGGCTAGAGCAACAATAAAATCATTCAATTCAATGCACAGCCCTTGCAGCTGTTCCTCTGAGAGGGGATCTTGGTCTCTTAGCAACCCCAACAGCCTTTGCAATTCATCCTTAAAGGGAGAGAGTGAGGAGAAAATTAAAAATCACAAATTTTGTTGAAAAAGTTACTTTATATATTTTTAACAGTTATCAATGCACCATTTCTGTAAGCTATAGTGAACTTTTAACTATTTTAATGATTTTCTCCACTGACAGGGCACTTATGTTTATTTTATTTGAGAAGGATATCATATGATTAAAATACCCATTCTTATGTATTATACTCAAATACATAAGAATGGTTTCTGTATACTATACTAGGGCTAGATATAGCAAATACAAGCAGTTAGCAAATATTTATTTCAATAACTATATTTTCCATTTATAAATGCTAGAAGCAGCTGAATTTTGATAAAGTTAAAACAAAGTTACTCTGGTGGTAGTATAATTTTATAACATGGTTCCTGGATGGTTTATCAACTAAGTAGAGACTAGGCAATTTTCCTCATACTACTGAATCTTGAACTTCAATGAAGCATCTAAAATAGACTGAAAATTACTCACTGAAGGCAGATTTCTTGCTTTGTGAAGAATATGAAAAATAGGTATAAAAAATAAGCAAATGAATAATTCAACTTACAGAATCCAAATTTATATGTAATGCTATGAAAAGTTTAAGTTTGTTTATTATTATTAAACAAATCAATGTGGTTCCCAATGAGTAAGGGAGAAACAAATAATTTGAAAACAAAAGACCTAGATGTAAGTCTCTACTCTGGAAATCAGAAGCCATGTGGCCTCTTAAGCTTAGTTTCAAATTATATAGAAGTCCCATTTGCAAACTGTACTATGTTACAGAAATGTTAGATTGAGTTTTTATGACTCTCAAAACTCAAAAATTTAACACTAATGTTGGACTGATAAACATCCTTCTGACATTCACCAACTGTGCTCCAGAGCCATTTGCAGCTATAGATAAGGATGTGATTGTGTGCATGGCAGCAGACGATCCTATTTAACTAAAATTAGGAAATCTGGAATATTCAATTAGGAAACAGGAAATACAGTTAAATGCCCAGTGCTCTAAAGTGGTTAGCAAACTCTGTCTGTAAAGGCCACACAGTAAACATTTTTAGGCTTTGTGATCATTTGGTCTCTGTTGCAAGGAATCAATTCTGCTGTTGAAGCATAAAAGCAGAAAGAGATAACATGTGTGCAGTTGAGCATGGCCAGGTTCAATATAACTTTAATTCATGAAAACAGGGGGTGCACCACAGTTTGCCAAGATCTGCTCTAAAATATCATAACCATTATAATAAAATAAATTTGTTCAGAATGAACTGAAAAAGGAGAAAAAATTTAAAATTTTGGGATTATAGACACTGTGGCTGATAATCAGTATATAGCTAAAATGCCACTAAAACAGGAAATCATAAATCTCAACTATATTGAATGTAAGATGACACAAACTAAAAACATTTAAAGGACAATTTAAAGTATCTTTATACAATGCACCTGTGTTTTAGAAGCGTGCTCAGTTCCTATCCTTTCTTCTTGGCATTCAGCAGCAGGCAAGCCTTCGATCTTAAGATCTGTCTCTTGCTGTTCCTGTAATTTCATCAAGACCCTGTTGACTGCACACATGGCTGCCTCTCGGCAGAGTGCCATCAGATCAGCACCAACAAAGCCTGGTGTTAGGTGTGCCAAATGACGAAAATGAAAACTTTCAGGAAGTCTTAGTTTCCTGCACAAAGTCTGAAGTATTCTGTAGAGAAGGGGGGAAAAATTACTATGTCTAACCTAATAACCTAATAACAGTAAAAACAAGTATTTCATCCATACCACATTACATTTAGTTGCTACACTCCTATTGGTTATGGCAGTTTCTGAGACCATCTTTGTGTCTGATAAGAAATCTTGACAGTGTTGAGGATACCGGTTAGGTATTTTGCAGACTGTCTCTCCCCTGGGATTTGTTTGATATTTTTCTCATGGTTAGAATGGGGTAATAATGTGTCTTTGGGAAGAAAACTGTACAGGTAAAGAGCCATTCTGATCGCATCATATCAAGGATACATTCTATCAACACGACTTACCACTGTTGTTGTTAACCTGATTATCTGGTTTGAAACAGTGTCTTAAAGATGTTTCACTATAAAGTTATACTCCTCTCCCCAACCCCTTTCTACCCTATACTCTTTGGAAGGAAGTCACTATGTACAGCCCACACTTAAGGGTGAGGTATCTACATAAATTATTTTGAATTCTTCCACATAGGAGATTTGTCTATCCTCACTCATCTATTTACTTATTCAGTCATCTGTTCATATTACTATGGGCTCATGGGTATTTTATTATCTGAAATCTTGAACTATAATTTATGAAGGAAGAAATTAAATGGAGAACAGAACAAAGGGGGCAAAGTCAAAAGTAAGTGTTTGCAGAGAGGTGCACTAATGAAAAGCAAACATAGTTGCCTGGCAGAATTCCAAAAACTCAGGAAGTTGAGGCACCAAAGTCCTGGACTACAGAAGGCAGTTCCAAGGCAGAGAGCTGGAAATAGGAATTACCTAAAGTCTGTGAAACAAGTATTAAGACCTCTCAAACTGCAGGACACCAGAAATTTGCTCTCTGATGTAAGAAAACCAGGGGAAGGAAGCTCCTGATTTGAGGACAACCATTTCTCTGTAGGGAAAATAGGTCAAAGGTTATGCATAGTGTGGACGACTCCTCAGGTCCCTTCCCTTGACCAGGAGCTAGAGTTATAACCCTGTTGTACTGTCTAGAGATCCTTTTCTGAAAAATCTGGATTGACCTAACAAAAAGAATCTACATTAAGACTGGGAGTTTTCTAGCTAAAAAGTTAGCTGTTCATTTGACTGATTTACAAAGGCACCCACCCTTCAACAAATAGCTTATACTATGGACATTTAGTCAGTTTCACTCTTAAAACTACGTATTGTTGGACAGCAAGAACTCCATTTGTGAAAAGCTTCCAAGTGAAATAATAATAATAATGGTATAATATTAGTGGAGTTCCTATGTGGTACAAACAGTTAACACACTCAGCTGCTAACCAAAAGGTTAGCAATTCAAGCCCACCACCCAGAGGATGCCTCAGAAAAAAGCACTGGTAATCTACTTCTGAAAACTCAGCCAGTGAAAACTCTATGGAGCACAGCTCTATACCCATGGGGTTGCCATAAATTTGAATCAACTTCAACTGGTAACAACATTAGGGACGACAGCTCATAATCAGTAAGACTCACTATGTACCAGGAACCACTGTCCTAAGACTTTACACATATTATTTCTCACTGACTCTCTCTGTAGTGTAAAGTAAACTAAAATAAACACACATAACCATACACAGGAAAAAAAAAAAGATACTTAAAGGAAAGAGAGTGTAGAAAATGCAGAGAAAGTAACAGAAGTCAAAAGTACAGTCATGAAAGGGAAGAGACATGAACTAAGAATGAAAATACAGGTCTCAAATCCTCAAATGTGACTTAGAGGAGGTAGTGACAGAGCAAATAAAAACAGCACTTTGTGTTAAATGTTGATATTAGTTTAGCACACTGCTTATCAAGTGCTACAAACTCTACTTTAAAAACTCTTCAAGCCTAGAACTAGATGGTGCCCGGCTACCACTGTCAACCACTTGGAGGGGGATTCATGTTGGAGATCCT